CCCCCCTGCTCCGCGGTCCATGCGCTTTGAAGAGACCCTGGTCCATGCGCTTTGGAGAGACCCTGATACTCGGGCTACTCTGCGATAGTAGATTTACTGAAATGATTAAAATGCAAGTATACTGATAACAAAATACAAAATTATTTTCAGTCTGACCAGWCAAAAAAATAACAACTACTTAGATAGCTGATAGCTCAATAGACGTTCTGAATGAATAGCCATGATAGTGTCTCTCTCACTAATACAATCTCCGCTCGAAAATTGATCGCCAATCTCGTTCAGTCTGACAGCCATTTTAGTTTTTCCTCTGTAATAGACGTTTTATATTCATGTGCCATTTTAATTTCTTTAACCAATGTTTTGGTCTCAATTAAAAAAGGAAGGAAAAGCAGTCTTGATGATCGCCATTAGTCAAACATAACACGCTTACTGCTGATGAAGTGAAGGCGGCTTGTTTTGTAGTCGACAAGAAGCAAGATTAAAATGCCAAAAGTTTGACTTGTATTTGTCTTGGTGTTTACACAACAGGCGGTAATAGTGTGTCGTTCAATCATCAAAGAAACAACATCGTTTGCCTGTGTTTACAGAATATTGAAGGCATTGTTTAAGCTTCTTGAAGACATATAAATGGATGTGATGCAGGGATCCAATACAAACTAAACAGACTTGCCTGGCGATTCATCGAAAGGTAAGCTTGATAAATAACGTGTATAATATCAGTACAGGGGACAAAAGCCACATTGAAAACAACCCAAAAATTGCTAAAAAGAAATGGAAATATCTTAATTGTTAGTACGCATGATTTTTTTAATTTAGTTTAGATACTTTTTTAACCGGCGGATCGAACGATGTTTYTGCATGTCCTTTGCCCTCCATTTTGCATCAAGAACAAGCAATGTGACCTGCAATAAGTACTAAACGAATCACTTATAGACAGTCAATTGAACGAGAAAAAAATGATTCTGATGATCAGACTTTATTTCGTTTATTTCTTATTGAGCGATGAAGTATTCTAAACACACTCACTTCACACCATTTGAAGGAGTATTGCAAACTGAATTTGCAGCTGGCTCACTAAC